CGCACTGCCGAACTCTGCGAACGATGGTCTGAACATCCCCAAGCTTGGTACATGCAACAACTGATTTCGGAGAAATGCGCAAGCCAGCTTCCTTCATGGATGTGTATGTGTCGACTAAACATGTGACCAACTGCTGCCTGGTAGCGTGCCTCGAACATTTCGTCGGCTGGCTGAGATCGTCAATGCAAAGCCGCTGCGACGTGCCAACATGCGCCGTGGCGAGGCGCTGCGCGATGAAATATGTCGCGCGCTCGGCCAATCTGGTGGCCCCCCAGAGCCCTTGCACCACCGAGCCGAGCGGTGCAGAGGACTCCGAATACGCGCCAGACTGACGTCGACAGCGCGCCGCCATGCATTGCGGCAGCTCCAGCCCCAGTCTGCAGGGAACCCCAGCCTGAGCGCCGCCTTGCCGACCAGCATCCAGCCTATGGCGTCGTAGAAGTGCCCTGCGTCGAGGAGCGCATTGGCGCGGTTAGCCTGCAAGCGCGCAGCCAGCTCCACGTCAGCGGCCCCGAGGAACACCTCTCTGATGGCAGCGTTCCCCTAGATGGCGGCGCCCCAATGCGCCTCGCACCCCGCGCTCGGACGTCCGATGCTTGACGCGCGGCTCGCGCGCCTGCGACCGCGCCCGCGAAAGTTGCGGCAGCAGGCCAATGATCCTGTCTCCAGCAGCCTTCTTTGGCAGGAGGTGCCGATCGTGAGCGACGCTTGATGAGGCCAGGTCTGCGCGGCCTCGCAGGCGCCCGGGAGAGAGCATCTCGCGCAAAGCGTCCTCTGGGAGGCGCAGCAGGCCGCGTGAGCAGAGTCGGTCAACTCCCATCCCTGAGTTTGCCATTAATCCGACCAAATGCAAAGCGCAGGCCGTCGGGAGCGAGGGGGGGGGGCCTCGCTGCGCGCGCGCGCTCTCTGGATGCGTGGAATAACGTCTGCAACGCATTCATCTCGACTGCGCTGCCGCCCGCAGCCAGAAACGACGGCGCCCAATCCGCTGCCACCCCTGGCTCTTACGATCCAGCACGTCGCGCGGATGAAGAATAGCCTGGCCGTTGACCGCCGCCTCCCGAGTCTCGAGCCGTGGGTCACGAATCTCCTCGTGGAGAATACCCAATTCTGAAACTGTCTCGGCCAACTCTCGAAACTCCCCATCGCTTTGTCGAGGGCTCGAACGTGTCGAGCCACTCCACTTATCATCGTCGCAACCCTGGTGCACCAATTGCTGATGCGATCACGCAGCGGCGCGATCCTCGTCGGAATCGCCGAGCGCACCGTGGCAGTCCGGAACTGGGGCGCGGCTGCTCGCGAACCCGAAGAACACCTGCTTGTGATGTGCCGATATCGAGGCCTCAACTGTCTGAATCCAGCCTGCGCGCAAAGCTCCGATCAGGCCAGAATCCTCTGAGCCGAGGCGGTGGGCCATGGAGCTGGCAATCGCAGGGGCAGGCGCGCAGGGCCCAGCGGGTCCAAACGCGACGATGGCTACTTGTTCCTTCCATGCCGAACTGGGTGCAGAAAACTCGGGGGACCACTCTTGCGAAACGGACGGCTCCTGGGGCGGTGACCGCTGGGCGGCTGGAGGGGTGGGGCGTCTGGTCGCTGGGGTCTGAAATACTCGATTGTTCAACTGTGACTGGCGCAGGCGCCGAAAGAGCAACGCAGGGCGGGACGGGCGGCGCTGCTGGTCTGAAAATCGCCTCGCCCGCCCAAGGTTCGCCCTCCGGGCAGCCGCCCCAGTCCTCGCCAGGACTGGCAGCCTCGACCTCCTCCTCGAAGCGGGTCTCGGCTTCGCTGAGAAGGGGGGTCGCGGAGTCACCCGGGGGGGAGACGCGACCCGAGGGGCAACCAATTGGGTTCCCCCGCCCCTGGCCCTGTACACACCCCATAAAAGTAAGGGGGATGCGCTCGCCCCGAACGCGCCTGGCCCCCCAGCCTTGAATCGCCCGCTGAGATTTCGCGACGCCCCACTTGGAGCCAGGAGCGCTCGCCCTCAAGGGCCTGCTGGCTGCGGGCAATCGCATGGGCAGATCAAGATATTTATTGCGCAGCTGCTATCCTGACGCAACAAGGTCGAAGCCGATGCCGACATGCGGCCTCCAAGGAACGGCAACGATCGCCGATGCCGAACGAACGCGCGCACGCGCAGACTGGCTGACTACAAGGCAATCGCGGTGACCGGGCGCGCGTCCCCCTCCAGGCGCGCGCGCGAACTCAGCGCCTGAAAGAAGCGCCTGCCCCCCCCCCCACACACACACACACACACGCACGCACACCCTATCAAGCCAACCAGACTTCTGAGGGC